GCATACTAGCCTCCACATCGGAGAGAACAGGAAGATGGCCCTATATACACCATGCTAGTCTCCATACCGGAGAGAACAGAAAGGCGACCCTATATATACAGCATACTAGCCTCCACATCGGAGAGAACAGGAAGATGGCCCTATATACAGCATACTAGTCTCCATATCGGAGAGAACAGAAAGGCGACCCTATATACACCATACTAGTCTCCATACCGGAAAGAACAGAAAGGCGACACTATATACAGCATACTAGCTTCCATACCGGAGAGAACAGGAAGATGACCCTATATTCACCATACTAGTCTCCATACCGGAGAGAACAGAAAAGCGACCCTATATACAGCATACTAGTCTCCATATCGGAGAGAACAGAAAGGCGACACTATATACAGCATACTAGCCTCCATATCGGAGAGAACAGGAAGATGGCCCTATATACACCATACTAGTCTCCATACTGGAGAGAACAGGAAGATGACCCTATATACAACATACTAGCCTCCATTCCGGAAAGAACAGAAAGATGACACTATATATACCATACTAGTCTCCATACCGGAGAGAACAGAAAAGCGACCCTATATACAGCATACTAGTCTCCATATCGGAGAGAACAGAAAGATGACACTATATATACCATACTAGCTTCCATACCGGAGAGAGCAGGAAGATGACCCCATATACAGCATACTAGCTTCCATACCGGAGAGAACAGGAAGATGACCCTATATACACCATACTACGCTCCATACCGGAGAGAGCAGGAAGATGGCCCTATATACGCCATACTACCCTCCATACCGGAGAGAACAGGAAGATGGCCCTATATACACCATGCTAGTCTCCATACCGGAGAGAACAGAAAGGCGACCCTATATACAGCATACTAGTCTCCATACCGGAGAGAACAGGAAGATGGCCCTATATACACCATACTAGTCTCCATACCGGAGAGAACAGAAAGGCGACCCTATATACAGCATACTAGCCTCCATACCGGAGAGAACAGGAAGATGACTGTTTTCCCCCAGATCAGGGACTCGACAGTTTAAGTTGGCAGACCTAACAGCATTTACAGTCTGTTATTCATTATTCAGTCTATTTAGGGTG